TGGGCTTAATACGTGGCTGGGCTTATTAACCGTGGGCTTAATAACCGGCGACTACTGTTCAGCAACTGTGCTACTGCACAATTATGACATCTAGTGTCTCCCCTATCGAGGAGAATTGCTTGATGGGCGGCGTGCGGGCCAATTCTTAATTTGCGGCTCCTTCGAAGAGACCCGGCCACACATTCAAATTTAATGAGGTCGAAATCCTCACGAGAGGTGCAATAGTGTGAGTCGCCAGTTTATTGAGTCACGGTTCACGGGCCCCCCGTCTGTAAACAAGTGCACCAACCTGCGCAATCCATATTTGGACCTAAGGCTCAATTTCGCCAAAGCAAGTCGCCGCTCGGAGAACGCACAGGCCAATGCGTCAACCAACGCCAACGCCAGGGAACCAGATGGTCGAACAGTCATCACGTCCAGTTCAACCACATGTGATGAAAGTTCAGTAGGTCACGGCCCGCACGCTGGCAATCAAACAATTAGCGCACAAGCAGTCCCGACAATGGAGTTGTTATTTGTCATAAGCGTGCGGTAGCATAGTGACTGTATTCTATAAATACTGCTACCCCTGTGCATGGATTGTCTCGGATAAGGGGCGATGGTTTTGGAAACGTCAGGCGAATGAAATTCTTATCCCAGCGGTCACATATTCTCAAATAACGTAATGTTTTTTTTAGAAATAACGATACTTTGGTAAGGTAAACATCTCGAAAGCTCGAATATTTCTGTCGAATGAGAAAAAAATACTCTGTAGAAGTGCATAAAACTAGTCCCTGCGAAGAAGTGAGTAAATAAAACAACCTCTTAATAATTTTCGGGATACCCATTCTTAAAGAATTAACGTAACAACTCTTCGATGGTTGATTGTGTTGCGAAACAATTTCACATGGGTTTACTGTAACTTCTACTTTCGAGATGCGGTTAACTGCGGCAGCGGTTTTTTTCTTTTGTTCGTGGACAGCAACGCCATGGAAGTAACAGTTTTCATCGAGTTACATGTCGAGAGCTCCATCAGTCACTGGGAGATTGGAGTGTAGTTAAGAGATTCAATATCATAAGCATACCATTACTTGTATATCAAGAGGATGTGTTATGAGCCGACCTGTTACTTGGGATTTACATAAAACGTACGCTTGCTTGACTCTTGTCCCAAACACCAACGCGGCAAAAAAGAGAGAACACGATCGGCCATGAAAAAAAATTTAGTAAAAATCTGCAAGTCGTTCTCACTGAAAAGTTGCACGTATTTGTACCATCCTGTTCAGCTTGGCTGTTATTCTGCCCAATTCGCTTCAAGAGAAATTCCTTGAAGGACGGAGCTACTTATGGCAGACATGGACCAATCAGATCCTACGGGAGCACTATGGCCATTTTCGTGGCATGCAGCGCGGGCATGCGTGTGTTTCTATCGAAATAGCTAGTTTTTGGATTGGCGGTTTGAGTCATTGCTGTTGACTCATTGGAGTATGAAATCTAGTCATCAAGGAAAGCAAAGTTCCTGGGATGAGTATGCGCATGAACAATTAACAAGCACCTCTTATTAGTTGTTACTCAAAAACTTGCTGTACTGGTGTTTTTTGTTGAGTCATGTCCTCTTCATATTTTCCGGGGAAAAATTAAACTCTCCCGCTTCTGCATTTTAATAGATGGATATTGATATGTTTCTCTGTTGCAAGCAACAAAACTAAATTCTCACGTTTTATAACAATCATTTGCGTCCTATTTACTAACGTTTAGGCCTCCTTATACAGTTACCAGTATGCTACAGAATGGGCGTATAAGTACCGGAATTTTTTTTATCCGGCTAAATCTGTGCTCATTTCATCCAGTCCGCACAAAAGCATATTGCCACCCGCTCAAAAGTTAAATTGACAGCTTAGTCTTGGGTTCTTTTGGCAGTTACTGGTAAGATATTTTCGTGTAGCAGGAATGTAGGGGTACGTTAATAGGAATTGCCGTAGATAGTTCTTTTGAGGGCGCACGATTTTGTCGATTTCCTAATTATAATTGCTAGTTACCTTTCGTCTTACTCGATTTATCTAGCACGAAAAACCAAGCTTCCAATTGTTGAGAGCTGTCTTGGTAAAGTCATTATCATTTTAAATTAATGCTGTCTGTTAAAAAATCAAAAGCAGGTATTCATGTGTGCTCTGTTACATTTATTGAAATCGCTCGATTACAAGGCAACGTTGATTTCCACCGCAAATCGCAAACAGCTACGGTAATAGACTATCCTGGACACATATTCTATGTGGCAAAAAAGGCTTCACCGGGACGCTTTGAGCTGGCACATAAAATGTATGCCGTTTGAAATGCCCCGAACTTTGATTATTAGGTCTCAGGAATTACATAACCAACTGTATTGAATTGTCGGCATCCCAAGCGATATATATTGTTAACGATAATATCCTTTGGGAAAGCATAAGGTTTATTGTGAATTTTTGAGTCTGGTTCTCCAGCTCGTCGTCAGACAAATGAAGGTGTTGCGAAATCAGTTAACTCAAAGCGATGACTAACACCAGATTCTACGGTGGGTCAACGCGTAGGAAGATAATCCTCACCTACATTTAATTATGCGGTCGGCGGGGAAAGATACCTGTCATCCGCATGTAGCTATGCGATCAGAGGGAGGGAATAGTTGTCACCCGCATTTAATCATGCGGTCGGTGGTGTCTGTTTTGGTTTCCATCTGATCTTGAGAGATTTGTAGTTCACATCCAAATCGATATGCCTGTTGATGAATGCCTCGTCTGGTGCATTGCATCCAGGAATTCGCGGGCCTTCCTAGTTGGGCAGGCGCCAACGAGTTGGGTTTGCTCCCATGCAACTGCCTGCCATGTAAACAAGTCTGAGACATGCGCAGACCACCTATCGGACGTTGCCATGCACACACTGGACACATGCGCTTGCCATGTGTCCAGTGTGCGCATGGCAACCTCCGATAGGTGGTCTCGTCTCCTCACCCCTAACTGGTGTTCATGTGTGCGGGTGGAAAGAGCTCTTTCAATATGCGAAAAAATTCGAGGTCCAGATAAAATATTGCTTACATCATCCCCGGAAGAGGAAGAAGAAGTAGAGACGATTTCTGGGACCACAGTAGTTTGACCACAGTAGACTGCATCACAACTGATACCTGGTATTTTATAGGTGACTTCCTTTCTGTTGAAATGGCC